ACGCCACCGCCTGGGAGGCAGGACGGAGTGCTCAGGCCGGGGAGGAGTGAGGTCACTACCTGCTTCTTAAACACAGCTGGGATGCTGGCCCAGGGGCGGGAGCCTTAGGTCCCAGCAACTCTGGAAGCAGCGGCGGGAGGACTGATACACTTAAACGAAGATTACTTTATCATTCCATAACAAGGGACAATAAGCCAGGAGCGATGGCTCACGCCTGTAATCCCAGCACTTTAAGAGGCTGAGGTGGGTAGATCACCTGAATTTAGGCTTTCGAGACCAGCCTGATCGAGACCAGCCTGACCAACAAGGTGTGTAGGGCACGTTGGGAGCCAGATGTAAGGCTGAGCGCCCCACAGGGTCGTGGGGTGAGCCTTATGCTGTGCTGAGGCGCAGGATCCGAGAAATAAAGAGACAGGACACAGAAGTACAAAGAAAATGCAGCTGGGGGGCCATGTCACCTATAAGCAGAGTCAGGCAAGGCCAGTGAGCCGAGGCTGGTGAGTCTAGGCGAGGCGAAGATGGCGAGCGAGGCCCCGAATGTCCAGAAGCATGAATATTTATTGTGTATAGGTTAGGGGGCAGGGCAGTGAGTGAAATCATCTTTAAGGATAGTGATAGGGCCGTGAGCAATAAAACATGGGGTCCACCCCCATTCAGTCACCTAGGCCAGGAGGTGGACAGCGCGCAGCAAGAGGCCCCGTTCCCACGAAGGCAAGGGCCGGGTGCAGAAAGGGGTCCACCCCCATTAGGTCACAGAGGCTTGAAGATGGGCTGTGCACAGTGAAGAGGGTGCAGTGTGCAATACTTCTATTTATGGGAAAACTATTTCTAAGAAGATTTATGGGAGGATGCCTTAAGTCACATAACAGTGACAGAGCTGTCAAGGTTACCGCCGCCTTCTGGCAGCTTCCAATGGGTTCTATGGGAAGATGCTTTTCAAGCAGCACAGTAGCAAGAGCTGATAAATTTCACAGCCACCAAGGTGGACTGCCATTCTGAGGGCAGTCTTCCACAAGAACTGGAGCAAGGTCCTACAACTCCATTATCAGGAGGAGTGGCTCTCGCCCCAAGCCTGCCATACAGCGGGTATCTTACCTCACTGAACGCTACCACCTGGGCCATGGGTTCTTGTCCTGGTATAACTGTTTTTCCCTTAATTCATGCTCTGCACTGTGTCTGCTGTAGGCATTCCTCCGATTATAAGCTGCTTATTCCTTAATTCATGCTCTGTACTCTGTCCACTCTAGGCATTCCTCCGATTATGAACTAAGATATAATTATAGGTATATATGTAGGGAAATATTATTTAGGCACTCATACTATCAACTATTAATGATTATGTATAGAGGATTATATAAAGGGATTCTACAAGCCCTGATTCTATAAATTAATATGTGATTATGTAAAAGATTACATAAAAGCAAATAGCTGAGTAGTAACACTATAAAGTGAGATATTCCTCAAGCCCTAACTGTGCCAGGGTTCTCATTCCTCAGTGCCTATATGGGGGGGTTACCCACAAAGGTGAAACCCCATTTCTACTAAAAATACAAAAATTAGGCCAGGCGCGGTGGCTCAAGCCTGTAATCCCAGCACTGTGGGAGGCCGAGGTGGGTGGATCACGAGGTCAAGAGATCGAGACCATCCTGGTCAACACGGTGAAACCCCGTCTCTACTAAAAATACAAAAAAAAATTAGCTGGGCATGGTGGTACATGCCTGTAATCCCAGCTACTCAGGAGGCTGAGGCAGGAGAATTGCCTGAACCCGGGAGGTGGAGGTTGTGGTGAGCCGAGATCGTGCCATTGCACTCCAGCCTGGGTAACAAGAGCAAAACTCCGTCCCAAAAAAAAAAAAAAAAAAGTACAAAAATTAGCTGGGTGTGGTGGGAGGCACCTGCTGTCCCAGCTACTCAGAAGCCTGAGATAGGAGAATTGCTTGAACCCGGGAGGCGAAGGTTACACAGAGCGGAGATTGTGACCCTGCACTCCAGCCTGGGGGAGGGAGTGAGCCTCCGACTCAAAAACAACCGAAGGGACAATGCTAGCAAAAGCTCTTATCCCTGGGGCTGCTTATCTTACTAATTATTAATAGAAAAACTGTTTTTGTTTGCTTGCTTGTTAGTTTGTTTTGAGACGGAGTCTTTCTCAGTGATATCAGCTCACTGCAACCTCCGCCTCTGGGGTTGGGGCAGTTCTCCTACCTTAGCCTCCCAAGCATCTGGGATTACAGGTACACGCTACCATGCCCGCCTAATTGTTTTCTATTTGTAGTTGATACGGGTTTTCACCATGTTGGCCAAGCTGGTTTCAAATTCCTGACCTCAAGTGATCCACCCGCCTCGGCCTCCCACCGTGCTATGATTACAGGTGTGAGCCACCCCTCTGGGCCCTGACTTTATTTTCATGATACATGAAATTGTTCTTCACCTCCTGTGTGTAGTAGACAGTTTTGCATGTCACTTTTCAGTTTCCATTATCTACTCAGAAAAACCCAGGACCACTAATCAGAACCCAGAGGATCCAGTCCTGGAGAGGAAGACAAAGACAGCAAGCGACATCTGGGGTCCAGCAGAGGAGCGAGCTCAGACAGGCACGGTCCAGGCTCGCCCTTTAAAAAAAAAATAATAATAATCACTTCCAGACCCCGCCCCTAAGATGACGATCTCTCTGGCCAAGCCCCTTCCGCCGTCTGCCGCAGCCCCCAGACAGCCTCCTCCCTCTTGCCACGCCCCAGGTCCGTTCCAGGCGCCCCCAGCCACTAACCAGGCCCCGAGCCCACAGCTGCCTCTACTGTCTTGCCCCGCCCCAACACCTGTTCAGGCCCCGCCTCCTCAGTGACCATTTTTCCCTCACGCCTGGTCCCCACCTGCAGTCCAAAACCCGCCCAGATAGGGTCTAGGGCACCCACGTTTGTTCTGCAGACAGCGCCCAGGGCTTACTCAGGTGTTTTTTGTTGTTGTTGTTGTTGTTTTTGTTTTTTGTCTTTCTGCTGCAAACCTGCTTTTCGAAGCATCCCAGCCCCGAGTCGAGCCACACCAGGAATCTGGTTGCTTCGGGATGTTGAAATCCCGACGCGAGTTTGTGCAGTTGTCAGGGAGTCCCAGCTTCACCATGGGAAGCCGGCAGGCCTGGTGGCTCTGCAGGTTTTGTATCCTTTTCGACCATGTACTCCGCCTTTCAAGACACTATTACCCTTTTCTTTACTTTTTGCTTCTCTTTTTTCTTTTTGAGTCGGAGTTTTGCTCTTGTTACCCAGGCTGGAGTGCAATGGCGCGATCTCGGCTCACCGCAACCTCCGCCTCCTGGGTTCAGGCAATTCTCCTGCCTCAGCCTCCTGAGTAGCTGGGATTACAGGCACGCGCCACCAGGCTCAGCTGATTTTTTGTATTTTTAGTAGAGACGGGGTTTCACCGTGTTGACCAGGATGGTCTCGATCTCTCAACCTCGTGATCCACCCGCCTCGGCCTCCCACAGTGCTGGGATTACAGGCGTGAGCCACCGCGCCCAGCCTCTTTTTTCTTTTTTGAGACGGAGTTTCACGCTTGTTACCCAGGCTGGACTGCAATGGCGTAATCTCGGCTCTTCACAACCTGCACCTCCCTGGTTCAAGCGACTTTTCTGTCTCAGCCTCCAGAGTAGCTGGGATTACAGGTATGCGCCACCAGTCCCGGCTAATTTTGTATTTTTAGTAGAGACGAGGTTTCTCCATGTTGGTCATGCTGCTCTCGAACTTTCGACCTTAGGTGATCCGCCCGCCTAGATCTCCCAAAATGCTGAGATGACAGGTGTGAGCCACCATGCCCAGCCCTACAATGTACAATTTCATGCTGACAGCCCACACAACAAAACAGAAATTCTCTTTTATATTCTTCATTTATTCGGAGGGAGAGTCCACTCTATGCTCAGCTTCAGAGACTGCCTTAGGGCCACTGCCTGGGATGCAGGATGCACTGCTCAGGCCAGGGAGGAGGTCACCACCTGCCGCTTAAACACAGCAGGGATGCAGGTGCAGGGGCGGGAGCCTGAGGTCCCAGATACTCAGGAAGCAGCTGCGGGAGGATGGCTGAGCCTAGGGGTCCAAGCCAGTCTAGGCGACAAAGTAACACCCACTCCCGAAGAGCTCCCTTCCTTATTTATTTATTTTTTTTGAGACAGAGTTTCGCTCTTGTTACCCAGGCTGGAGTGCAATGGTGCAATCTCAGCTCACCACCACCTCCACCTCCTGGGTTCAAGTGATTCTCCTGCTTCAACTTCCCAAGTAGTTGAAATTACAAGCACACGCCACCATGCCTGGCAAATTATGTGTTTTCAGTAGAGATGGGGTTTCTCCCTGTTTGTTAGGCTGGTCTTGAACTCCTGACCTCCGGTGATCTGCCCACCCCAGCCTCCCAAAGTGCTGGGATTACAGCCTTGAGCCCTTGCACCTGACTGATAGAGTCTCTTTTCAAACTTATGTCTTATTATTCTGAGAGCCTCAAACTAGAGCCTGTTTTAACAGATTTGTACCATTTATTTTTGTGCAACAAGTATAAAATTCATGCTCAGTTTTCTCATAAAGAATACTTATTTTCCATCAACTTGTTGAAGACCCTTTGTACTAGAAAACTGCATTCAAGAGGATAGAAAAATAATTGTAGATATTCAAGTGCCACTTATTTCTGGAATGCAAGGGTGGTTCAACATAAGCAAATCAATGTGATATACCACCTGAACAGAACGAAGGATGAAAACCACATCATCTCAACAGATGGAGAAAAAGCATTTCACAAAATTCAACATCCAGTTATCATAGAAATCCTAAACAAAACAGAGAAGGAAATTTACCTCAACAATACAAAGACCATCCATGAAAAGACCGCAGCGAAAATAACCAAGTAGAGAAAATGGAATGCTTTTTCTGTAGGATCTTACATGATGCAAGAATGCTCTCACTTCTTCTATTCAATAAATATTAGCTGTTCTACCCACAGCAATTAAATTCCAAAAGAAATAAAACTTGGGAGGAGGAGGAGGAGGGACTCGGCGGGAGGATGGGCTTACTCTCAATTTTGCGCAAGTTGAAAAGTGCACCAGACCAGGAGGTGAGAATCCTTCTCCTGGGCTTGGATAATGCTGGCAAGACCACTCTTCTGAAGCAGCTTGCATCTGAAGACATCAGCCACATCACACCTACACAGGGTTTCAACATCAAAAGTGTACAATCACAAGGTTTTAAGCTGAATGTATGGGACATTGGTGGACAGAGGAAAATCAGACCATACTGGAGGAATTATTTTGAAAATACCGATATTCTCATATATGTAATCGACAGTGCAGACAGAAAAAGATTTGAAGAGACGGGTCAGGAACTAGCAGAATTACTGGAGGAAGAAAAACTAAGTTGCGTGCCAGTGCTCATCTTTGCTAATAAGCAGGATTTGCTCACGGCAGCCCCTGCCTCTGAAATTGCAGAAGGACTGAACCTGCATACCATCCGCGACCGAGTCTGGCAGATCCAGTCTTGCTCAGCTCTCACAGGAGAGGGCGTTCAGGATGGCATGAACTGGGTCTGCAAAAATGTCAATGCAAAGAAGAAATAAAATCTAGACGAATGGAGACGCAGGAGCCGCGGGAGCCGAATTCGGTCCTGAAAAACACTAATTTGCTGCTTTCTGACCAAATGTTTTTCCATCTGTGTACAGCTACAGCTGTTTGAAGCGAGGGAACAACACAGTTTAGAAAGAATCCCCATTCCAGCAGTAGATTTAACTGATCTCTGAGGTTCAGTATCATTTTTCAAATAAAGGAATTATATTATTTCCTCTGCAAAAAAAAAAAAAAAAAAAAAAAAAAGAAATAAAACTCATCCAAATGAGAAGGAAAAAAGTACACTTATATTTATTTGAAGACGACATGATCTTCTGTGTAGGAAATCACATAAAGCTGGCCACGCACAGTGGCTCAAGTCTGTAGTCCCAGCACTTTGGGAGGCCGAGGTGAGCAGATCACGAGATCAGGAGTTCGAGACCCCCCAGACCAACATAGTGAAACCCTATCTCTACTAAAAACATACAAAAATTAGCCAGGCATGGTGGTGGGAGCTTGTAACCCCAGCTACTCGGGAGGCTGGGGCAGAAGAATCACTTGAACACAGAAGGCAGAGGTTGCAGTGACCCAACCACACCATTGCACTCCAGATTGGGCGACAGAGTGAGACAATGTCTCAAAAAATAAGAAAAAAGAAAAATCACAAAAAGTCAATGAAAATGCTACTGGAACTAATAAACACAGTCAGTGTATTTGCAGAATACAATATCAGCACCAAAAATTAGTTGAATTTCCATACATTAACAATAAACAATTTTAAAAGAAAATTAAGAAAACACTTCCATTTGCTACAGTAAGAAATACTTAGGAATAAACCTGAAGAGGTAAGAAGTTTGTACCAGGCCGGGCGCGGTGGCTCAAGCCTGTAATCCCAGCACTTTGGGAGGCCGAGGCGGGTGGATCACGAGGTCAAGAGATCGAGACCATCCTGGTCAACATGGTGAAACCCCGTCTCTACTAAAAATACAAAAAAATTAGCTGGGCATGGTGGCGCGTGCCTGTAGTCCCAGCTACTCAGGAGGCTGAGGCAGGAGAATTGCCTGAACCCGGGAGGCGGAGGTTGCGGTGAGCCGAGATCGTGCCATTGCACTCCAGCCTGGGTAACAAAAGTGAAACTCCGTCTCAAAAAAAAAAAAAAAAGAAGTTTGTACCCTGAAATCTACAAACATAGATCAAAATAATTTAAAAATTAGATACCTAAAGATACAACCCTTATTGATAATTGAAAAAATTAATAACCCAATGTGATTTAGAGTCAATACAATACCCATAAAAATCCCTATGAGTTTTTGTTAAAGAAACAAAGAATGGGCCAGGCGAGGTGGCTCACACCTGTAATCTCAGCACTTTGGGAGGCCGAGGCGGGTAGATCACCTGGGGTCAGGAGTTCGAGACTAGCCTGACCAACATAGTGAAACCCCATCTCTACTAAAAATATAAAAAATTAGCCGGGCATAGTGGCAGGCGCCTGTAATCCCAGCTACTTGGGAAGCCGAGGCAGGACAATCACTTGAACCCAGGAGGTAGAGGTTGCAGTGAGCTGGGATAGTGCCATTGCACTCCAGCCTGGGCAACAAGAGCGAGACTCCATCTCAAAAAAAACAAAAAAAAAAAAAAAAAAAAAAGAAAGAAAGACAGGCCAGGCATGGTGGCTCATACCTGTAATCCCAGCACTTTGGGAGACGGAGGTGGGCATACACTTGTGGTCAGGAGTTCGAGATGAGCCTGGCCAACATGGTGGAACCCTATCTCTACTAAAAATACAAAAAATGCCTGGGCATGGTCATGGATGCCTGTAATCCCAGCTACTTGGGAGGCTTAGACAGGAGAATTGCTTGAACACAGGAGGCAGAGGTTGCAGAAAGCTGAGATCGCACCACAGCCCTACAGCATGGGCAAGAAAAGCAAGATTCAGTCTAAAAATTAAAATTTAAAAAAAAAAAAAAAAGTCAAAAACAGGCTGGGAATAGTGGCCAACATCCATTGGCCAGACTGGTCTCAAACCCTTGACCTCAAGTGATCTACCCGTCTTGGCCTCCCAAAAGTGCTAAGATTACTGGCATGAGCCACCACACCTGGCCCAATCCTCTTAACATAAACACTTTAATTAATCAATTAATGCTTGAACTCAATGTTATGTCAACTCAAACTCGAGTCAATGCTAAATTCTCTTACGTTTTGCATGAGATGAAGCTTGACTGAAGACTTTGCCACAATCATGACATTTGTAAGGTTTTCTCTAGGACAAATTTTATGATGATGTACAAGTTTTTTGTTTAAATACCTTGCCACATTTATTACACTTGTACAGTTTCTCTCCAGGATGAAGTACATGATGATGTGTAAGGTTTGACTGTTGCTTTAATGACTTTGCCACATTCATTACACTTGTAAAGTTTCTCTGCAGCATGAAGTCTATGATAACCTGTGAGGTTTGATTGTTCATTAAAAATCTTGCCACGGCCGGGCGCGGTGGCTCAAGCCTGTAATCCCAGCACTTTGGGAGGCCGAGGCGGGTGGATCACGAGGTCAAGAGATCGAGACCATCCTGGTCAACATGGTGAAATCCCGTCTCTACTAAAAACACAAAACATTAGCTGGGCATGGTGGTGCGTGCCTGTAATCCCAGCTACTCAGGAGGCTGAGGCAGGAGAATTGCCTGAACCCAGGAGGCGGAGGTTGCGGTGAGCCGAGATCGCGCCATTGCACTCCAGCCTGGGTAACAAGAGCGAAACTCCGTCTCAAAAAAAAAAAAAAAAAAAAAAAATCTTGCCACATTCATTGCACTTATAAGGTTTCTCTGCACTATGAATTGAATTATGAATTACAAGGGCTGAATTTTGACCAAAGGTCTTGCCATACTCATTATTACACTTGTAAGGTTTCTCTCCACTATGAGGTCTACGATGGCATACAAGGGATGATGTCTGACTGAAGGAATTGCCACACTCATTACTGCTTCTAAGGTTTCTCTCCATATGAGTTCACCAACGAACTGCAAGGTATGAACGATATCTAAGAAATGTGCCACATTTATTACACTTGTAAGATCTCTCTTCATTATGGATTCTTCAGTGATTTGCAATGGTTGTAGCATTACTGAAGACTTGGTGACAATCATTACATTACTAAAGTTTTTCTATGCCATGGATTGCTTGATGGTGAATAAGGACTGACTGTTCACTAAAAGCTTTGCCACACTCATTACGCTTGTTTACACTTGTGAGGTTTCTCTCCAGTGTGAATTCTAGTATGTTGTGCCAGGTGTGAATCACACCCAAAAGCCTTGTCACACACCTTACATTTGTATGGTTTCTCTCCCGTATGAATTCTCCTGTGTCTTTCAAGGTGTGATTTGCGACTGAAAACTTTGTCACATTCTTCACATTTGTAAGGTTTCTCTCCAGTATGAAGTCTACAATGAAGTACAAGGTGTGATTTTCTATTAAAAACCTTTTCACATTCATTACACTTGTGAGGTTTCTCTCCAGTATGAATTGTCTTATGAATTACAAGGTATGAATTTCGACTGATGGTCTTGCCACACTCATTGCACTTCTAAGGTTTCTCTCCAGTATGACTTCTATGATGGTATACAAGGGATGACATCTGACTGAAGGCCTTGTTACACTCATTACACTTGTAAGGTTTCTCTCCAGTATGAACTGCCTTATGATTTACAAGGGCTGTATTTTGACCAAAGGACTTACCACACTCATTACACTTGTAAGGTTTCTCTCCAGTATGAATTGCCTTATGGTTTACGAGGGTTGAATACTGACGGAAGTTCTTGCCACACTCATTACACTTGTAAGGTTTCTCTCCTGTATGAACTCTGCGATGGTATTTAAGGGATGACGTGTGACCGAAGGTCTTGCCACAGTCACTACACTTGTGAGGTTTTTCACCAGTATGATATCTACAATGGCATGCAAGGTATCACTTCCGATTAAAGACCTTGCCACATATATCACATTTATATTGTTTCTCATTTAAGTGGATTATCTGATGTTTCCCTAAGAGTGAGCTACAATTAAAGGCTTTGCCACTCTCACTATATTGGAAAGATTTTTCTCTCATGTGTACTTCCTGTTTTTGTGTGAGTAATGAAAAATAAAGAAAATTATTTCCATAGTTGTTAAAAATATGGGTTTGGGGCCTACAAGGAATTCTTGGAGATGTTGAAACTGCAGACACATCATTGATAAATTTCTCAGCTTGTTTACCAATTTTCCCTTCGGTCTCAAATATGTGCAGTTCAGACAGATGTGAATGAACTCTTATTCCAAGCTGATCTTTAATACGCTTGTTGCCAGCATGTCTTTGATCATATCGGTCTGTACCCCAAGGAAACCTTTCAGTTTTTCTCATGGGTGCCTCATGGCTATTTCTTTCATCTTCTGGCCACTGAAATTCAAAGTCATGAATATCTTTCTCAATTTCCTGGAAGCAAAAACCTCCAACGTGATGACTTTCATGTTTCCAATGATCCTGTGTGGAACACTTCTGTGTTGCCTTGCCCCGCTGGCAAGAGCTCTTGCATCATGCATTTGGAAGAGATATCTATAAAACGTAAACACAAACGGGTTTCCAATTAGATACAAATCTTAAATAATATTGACGTGTAAATATGACACAAAACACAATACTAATTTTAAACTTCCCAAACATGATCTTCATACTTCAGGAACACAAAAGGCGTAAGATTATTTAATACATAAAGGGCAATTGCATGTACCTGAAATCATTTCTACAGAAGCCTATTTCCAATATCATGACCACACAGTGACAGGGCACAAACATGTGTAAGCTTCAAGTAAGGAGTATTTTTCCACTGTGACCATAAAGTATGTAGTAGTTTGCAAAAAACGTATCACTGTCACATCAGTGGAAAGAAAAATATATATTACTAATGTTTACAGCATATTTACTGTATACAAATAAATGCTAAAGAATCACACAATATACTATATTGGTAAATAATACATAACAAGCTCATTTAAAGATAATCAAGATCCATGAAAATTCTGTACTGTGAAACAATCATAGCACTGAGAGGATATGAAAAGATTACAAAACCTACCCAGGCATGGTGGCCCACACCTGTAGTCCTAGCTACTCGGGAGGTTGAGGCAAAGAAGTGCTTCAAACTGGGAGGCAGAGGTTGCAATGAGTCAAGATCACACCACTGCATTTCAGCCTGGACGACTGATTAAGACTCTGACATGGTCGGGCGCAGTGGCTCAAGCCTGTAATCCCAGCACTTTGGGAGGCCGAGGCGGGTGGATCACGAAGTCAATAGATCGAGACCATCCTGGTCAACAAGGTGAAACCCCGTCTCTACTAAAAATACAAAAAAAAAAATTAGCTAGGCATGATGGTGCGTGCCTGTAGTCCCAGCTGCTCAGGAGGCTGAGGCAGGAGAATTGCTTGAACCCAGGAGGCGGAGGTTGCGGTGAGCTGAGATCGTGCCATTGCACTCCAGTCTGGGCAACAACAGTGAAACTCCGTCTCAAAAAAAAAAAAAAAAAAAAAAGACTCTGACTCAAAAAAAGAAAAGAAAAATGTTAATACAATATTTATCTGAATAAATGTTGTAAATTACCTATATCCATGCAGAACACGCACTTTCTGACTTTTTTTTAAGTATTTGTATATTTTGAGACAGAGTCACCCAGGCTGAAATGCAATGGCATGATCTTGGCCCACTGCAACCTCCACCTCCTGGGTTCAAGCGATCCTCCTGCCTCAGCCTCAGGAGTAGCTGAGATTACAGGCACATGCCACCACATCTGGCTAAGTTTTGTATTATTAGTAGCAATAAAGTTTCACCATATTGGCCAGGCTGGTCTCAAACTCCTGACCTTAAGTGATCCACCCGCTTCAGCCTCCCAAAGTCCTGCAATTACAGGGCTAAGCAAGGGTGCCCAGTGGCACTTTGTGACATTCATGAGTGGAGTGTGACAGTTATATTGCATACTACATACCAAAAAGCCATATGTAAAATCATAAAAATTAATTAATAAAATATTGTAACCCATGATAAAACCAGCAAGCAAATAATAAGTAAATTTATACAGCCTGCAGAATTCTAAACAATTTCCTTTGAAGGAAAATGCCACATCTTCTACTTATCACCAGGATACAATATAATAACTGAAATACATGGCAAGATCACTACCTTCTGACGTGTGAGGTCAAGAAAATACACAGCATTATAAGGAATGAGAACTGACTAGTGGCTAGGTGTGGTGTCTCACGTTTGAAATCCCAACACTTTGGGAGGCCGAGGCAGGTGGATCACGAGGTCAGGTGTTCAAGACCAGCCTGGTCAACATGGTGAAACCCCCATTTCTACTAAAAAAAAAAAAAAAAAATTAGCTGGGCATGCTGGCAGGCGTCTGCCATCCCAGCTACTTGAAAGGCTGAGGCAGAATTTTTTGAACCCACAAGGCAGAGGTTGCAGTGAGCTGAGACTGTGCCACTGCACTCCAGCCTGGAAGACTGGGTGAGATTCTATCTCAAAGAAGGAAAAAAAAAAAAACAACTGACTAACAGTGTCAGAGATTACAATTATGATGTCACAACACCCAAGCAATACAGCAATTCTATACATGTGTTTGCCCTTAGTTCTCTAGTTCACTATGCATAAAATATTAAACATAGAACGTCTACTGAAAAAATTTATAAACTGAGATCAAAGATTGCTCAACACAAATTGTACAATAAAAACGTAAGAAATATGATGCGGGCTCCCTGGAATGAATGTTCTTATGGGCCAAAAGCCATGTTGAAGGTTCTCATTCTCCAATAGGATGTTGCTGCACATGGAGCCTTTGAGAGAATTTGGTCAGAACTAGTGCTTTTATAAAAAGACAGTCAAGAGCTCGTTCCTTGTTACTCTTTCCACCATGTCAGGACACAGCAGGAAGATGGCTGGGCTCAACCACGATGGAGGCTCCCACCAGGAACCTATTTGGCAGCACCTTGCTCTTGGATTTCGCATTTTCTAGATTTATGAGAAATACATTTCTATGTCTTAAGCCTCCCAGTTAAAGCTATTTTTTTGTTTGTTTCTTTTTGAGACTGAGTGACACTCTATTCCCCAAGCTGGAGTGTAGTGGCACAATTCTCCTGCCTCAGCCCAGAGTCTCACCCTGTCATCCAGGCTGGAGTGCAGTGCTCTGATCTCAGCTAAATCTAATCTCTACCTCCCGTATTCAAGTGATTGTCCTGCCTCAGCTTGCAGCGCACCTATGATAACAGGCACGCGCACCACGTCCAGCTAATTTTTCTAATTTTAGGAGATGGGGTTTCATAATGTTGGCCAGGCTGGTCTCTAACTCCTGACCTCAGGTCATCTGCCCATCTTGGCCTCTTGAAGTGCTGGGATTACGGGTGTGGGCCACCATGCCTGGCCAATATTTTTGTACTTAGTAGATTTGAGGTTTCACCATGTTGGCCAGACAGGTCTCGAACTCTTGAACTCAAGCGATCTGCCCACCTCAGCCTCCCAAAGTGCTGGAATTAGGCGTTATTTCTGACAGGACAGTGAAATGACTGAGACAGGAAAAGGAGCTTCTCATCATCAACATCAGTGAAGGCTGACAAATCTTATTAAACAAAGGAAGTTTAGAGTCTGTCCTAGAAAACTTCCAATACTCAAAGCCAGCCGGGCGCGGTGGCTCAAGCCTGTAATCCCAGCACTTTGGGAGGCCGAGGCGGGTGGATCACGAGGTCAAGAGATCGAGACCATCCTGGTCAACATGGTGAAACCCCGTCTCTAATAAAAATAGAAAAACATTAGCTGGGCATGGTGGTGCGTGCCTGTAATCCCAGCTACTCAGGAGCCTGAGGCAGGAGAATTGCCTGAACCCAGGAGGCGGAGGTTGCGGTGAGCCGAGATCGCGCCATTGCACTCCAGCCTGGGTAACAAGAGTGAAACTCCGTCTCAAAAAAAAAAAAACAAAACAAAACAAAAACCAATACTCAAAGCCATCTTTTTTTTTTGTTTTTTTTTTTTTTTCTTAAAATAAAGATGGGGTTTCACCATGTTGGTCAGGCTGGTCTTGAGCTTCAGGTGATCCGCCTGCCTTGGCCTCCAAAGAGCTTGGATTGCAGGCGTGAGCCACCAGGCCCGGCCTACTCGAAGCCATCTAATAGCACTAACATGTTTTAATAACCTTGAGGTAGGCCAGGCACGGTGGCCCACCCCTGTAATGCCAACACTGTGGGAGACTGAGGCAGGAGGATCACAAGGTCAGGAGATCAAGACCATCCTGGCTAACATGGTGAAACCATGTCTCTACTAAAAGAACACAGAAAGTTAGCCAGGCGTGGTGGCATGCCTGTAGTCCCAGCTACTTGGGAGGCTGAGGCAGGAGAATCACTTGAGCCCAGGAGGTAGAGGTTGCAGCGAGTGGAGATCGCACCACTGCAGTCGAGCCTGGGTGACAGACCAAGACTCAAAAAAAAAAAAAGAAAGAAAGTTAAAGAGTAACTTCAACCACAAATATATATAAAGCTCTTCAGTAAAGGTAAATAAAAGGACAGATAGGCTGGGCACGGTGGTTCACACCTGTAATCCCAGCACTTTAGGAGGCCAAGGTGGGGGGGATCACATGAGGCTCG